GCCTGTACGCTGGAAGTGATGCAGCCATAGCTGCCCAGCGAGTTAGCATTAGTAGTAGAGGGTTAGTATGTAGCTATGAGTAGTATTCAGAGTAGATCCTCGTGACTAGAGAATGTGTATGCATCGTAAGAGGAAGGGACTGAGCTATAGAGTGTTCATTCAAGGTTTGGCTATGGGAGACACTTACCTGAGTTGGTTGTGAACTGCAGAGGTGGCGCTGATGAGTTGTGACCATATTGATGACTGGGAGACAATCTGCAGGGGTAGCGCTGATGCCTTGGAAGTCATATTGATGAGTTGGCAAGATATTGGTGTTGCGCTGATGAGCGCTGAACTCAGGGGAACTTTGAAACACTTTGTATTCATATTTCTGATAATATAAGCTGTGAAACTCGGTCCTCTTCTTCTCTACCTTTGTCTATGGTTGAGACTATTGATCACTGCGTGTGAAGATGATGCATGACATGTACACATCTGCGTGAGATGGTCCCCAGGACCCATGCAGCTGTGTCTTTGCCAAAAAAAAAAAAATCATGAACCAGGGCATTTTTACGCCTACGTTTGCTTTTTCCAATTATGAACACAGCGCCATCAATGGGGCCTGCGGCCTGCCCTTCATTCTCGCTTGTCGTTCTCGCTCTGGATTTTGTTGTATTAAAGTCTTATTAATTTAATTTAAATTATTTCTTCAATGCAGCCGATAGCACAAATGAGGCTCTAGTCTTGTGAGTACGCCTTTGTTAGCCATGTCTTTCCTCGTCTTTTTTTTTCACTCCTGTCTTTTTTTTTCAATAATGTCTTAAAAAAATGCTGGGATTTGTGAATAAGTTGTTGCATCAACAGTGGAACAATTGTTAAGATGTGGAGAAGGAGCTGAAGCAAGAAAGGAGGGAGGAGTAGGAGTAGTAGTAGGAGGAGGAGATCAACAACAGATGGAAGTATCTGCAGTGAAGCAAAAGAAAATGAACGTGGATGGACTGGTAGACTGCATGCATGAATGAAAATGAAATGAAATGGAATAAAAAGTAGTGAAAATGGAATTGAGGAAGTAGCAAAGAACAGAGTGCCAACAAACAAGCAAACAAAAAAAACAGGAAGAAAGAAATGCCCTGCTAACAGTGCTGAGTGCATGCCCTCTTTCTATTCTTCCTTTTGCTCATCTCCTGCTGTTGGCTTGCTTCCACATTGTTCAGGGCAGATTGAGCTCTACTCGCATGTCCCGATTCTACGAACCTTTGTGGACCAGCTGAAGAGATGGGATTTCAACATCTGTGCAGTTTATCTGCTTGATGCGCAGGTGAGCTCCGGAATTGAAGTTCAGTTGTGCGTGTGGCGCCTTCTGTCTTTTCGTTTTTCTTCCGTGTCATTTCAAGCTCTTGTGCCTTCTCCTATGGAATGCTTGTGTCCCCAAGTTTGTGCTACATTGCGCCCCCCTATAGCACCCTTATCCATTTCCACGTGGCTGCTCATTGTGAAAGTATTCACGCTGCAGACATCCCGAGTTCTAGCTCCAGGGGTCCCAAAATGTCCCCGTTCCAGCAGACTATCCCGGTAGGGTAGCTCGTAGGGTCCAGAGGCCGAAGCGTCGTAGGCCAGTAGGTGTCGGTACCTAAACCGTCGTAGGCCGGTAGAAGTCCGTCCTGTACCCGATCAGAAACGTCAAGTCCACTCCAGTCCAGTTCAGTCCAACAGTCCCAATTCCAATTTTGCAGCATGTCCCAGGAAAGTCTGGAAGCAACCGGACCCACAAAACGATTGCAGCAGACAGGCCGCAGCCGACCTGTACCTGTCTGAAGCAGGCCAAGCCAAGTGAAGCCAAGTCCTATATTTATCTGCTACAGTGCAGCGGCTAGTCACTTGTTCAATTGCAAGATGTGGAAGCGCTGCTGCTGCTTGTGCGTTAAGGCAACTTGGGCACTTCTCCCTAGGTTGGATTCGAACCAACGACCCAATAGATGGGCTAAGCAGTGCGTGTAATCTGACTAAGCCTCCCTCCGAATTGTGCATGCAAGATTTCCAAGCACACGGCTCTCCATCAGTTTGGCAAGACTACTGACGGTTTCCTTTCCATTTTTTTTCATGTACTATGGAAACTCTGACGCCACAAGGAGGAGGAAGGGGCGCTCGAGAGCTACTCCATAGCTAGGGTAGAGGGAGATAGGAAGTAGGACGGCCATAGAGTGGGTGTATCCAGGGTTACGATCTAAGGTAGAGACTGAGGGTGAGGCAGAGTGAGCCAAGTCGGACAGAAGAGCGCGACTGCACAGACAGACTGACAGACTGACAGACTGACAGACAGACAGACACACACACACACACACACACACACACACACACACACACACACACACACACACACACACACACACACACACAC